TGAGTACTGGTCACCTTGGTTTACATGCATCTCTTACTTATAACCTACGCTAGAACAAAGGAATCGAAAAGTGCAAACCTAAGCAACTCTACATATTAGATCATCATCATAGCAGTGCCGTAATTTATATAAGCGCACACTTGGGCAGTCGGGGCACCTGACAGCAAAAAGGAAACCAAATGGCAAAAGGAGTTTCAATGATGGTTGCAAAGGAGTTTGAATAGCGACCAGGATGCTCATTGCACAAGTTGTAATAAGAATGCACATTACAAAAATATACTTTTTTCATAGAGCGCGCTGCGTGACGCAGAATCCCTTGATCAATTGCTGGTCTTGTGTCTGTCCTGATTTTTTCCTCCTATCGAATATGTCCCTTAGTCCAGCGAATTTCAACGACACTGTCTTTCGATTTCGTCTTTTCCAGTCCGGCAACACTGCGCCACGCTTACATCGAAGATATATGTTTATTAATCAACTTTTAATGGCAAATGTACGGGTAAATCTTTGATTTATATGATATGCCTAATAGGTACGTAGAATTATTTAGGTTGAAAACGTATAAATTGTTGGCACCGAAAAATTGAAATATACTCTCCCCTCTACCCCATAGAACCCCAACATCAAATTTTTAACCCTTGCAAACACTTTTCTCAAAATGATCAGGAGCTTCTGAAACTTCAAAAAACGAAGTTTGGGCGTTTTTTTCGTGCTTTTACCCCTAGTACCGCTGCCACTGGACATATTTCAAAAATCTACAAAGTTCTTTCGCCCTTGGTATAGAATCTTGTGTGAAAATTTGATCCAAATCCGAGCAGTACTTTCCAAATTATAGGCGGCCCAAAGATTAGCGGACAGACCAACGGAAATGAGTGACTTGGTTTTTTGTGATGTACGTGTCACATAACATCCGAAAAATATATCACTTTTTCGAAAATTCTCGTGATTACAATACAACAATACAACCTCGCTCAGTGGCGTAGGATGTAAAAGAAAAAGACGAGTTTCAAGCCGTTATAACTAACATTCAATGAGTTCAAAATCAGCCGTACATTTTTCTTCTGTAGGCGGCATGTATTGTTTTATACAGGGTGACAAAGAAGTCGACGTCAAGTCGGAAACGGAGGATAGGCCAATGAATAAAAGTTATCAAAAATACTAAAAAAACTAAGCCGTGTACTTTTCAAATTATAGGTTTTAAACAAAAACGGAAAAATCTACATACCGTGATGATATTTTAGTTCCCATTAGTACAAATTTCAATTTTCTTGTGACGGATAGTATCATTCTAAGTAGTGAAAGCAAGACAGATAGTATCGCCACTTTTATTAATTCATGTTTTTATATACCAAATTCAACTTCAAGAGGCAGTAGATGTGAAATACGTATATTTGCTCAAACTTTGCTCTCAGTTCATTTATGTAGTCATTAGGGTAATAGTTCCAAGAAGCTTTAATATCAAGTAGAAAATAGCACTGAAATATTTAAATAAACCCTTAAGAAGTCGTCCACAAGGCACACGTATTTAAAAGGTTCTTGAACAATGACAGTAATAATAACAATAATCATATTTACACAAGTCATTGTAATAATAATTCCAAGAAGCTTAATATCAGGTAGAAAATAAATGACAAAGATTCATGTCCAGAAAAATACAATTTATTCTAATTCTGACTCCATTGAACTGCTATTATCATCTGGATTAATAATTATGGGCTCAATATTTCTCTATGTTACATTGTCCAACTGCCACATTTCCACTTCTACTTTTTCTTTCACATGTTTGATGAAGTTCCGGCATTTCTCTTCAGTAATTGCGCTTATTATTGGATTATTGCTTCCTGAAAGAGGATTTTCACATCTGCAAATTTGAACGTAGTATTTTTTGCTACAATACAGTTTTTTATATCCGCCCAAATCAGCTCAATTGGATTGAGTTCGCAGTGGTAGGGTGGGAGTTAATACCTCTTTATTCGATTCCGTGGCCATTTCGTCAATTATGTATTTAATATAATATGACTTGCTGCGGTTTATGACTTGTAACAAGGATTAATCGAATTCAATGTTTTTTTATCACAGCCAATTTTGCATATCAGCTTTGCTGGAGGCACTTGTCGGAATTCTCTCTAGTATTCGAGAATGGTATGATGCGTTGTCAAGAACAATAACACAGTTGCTATTCAGCTGGGGTTAAGTATTCTTGAACAATCCCTCAAATGATGGGCCATCCATTTCTTCGTGGTAATCCGACGTTCTTTTAGATTCGAAGGACCAGAGGGCATCAGAAACAAATGCATTTTCGCTGCCGATGTCACACACGATTAGCATTTTCCCTTTTCCAGAAGGATTTCTCAACCCGGTAGACAGTCCCTCCAGGACAGCCTGTCGAGATGATGTTACAGTGACTTTATTTTTCTGAGGTAATGTCTTCTCCATAAGATAATGTCATCTCTATCCAAAAGGATACTCTGACGTCCTAGTTTTTTGAACACAAAGTTAATGTGCTTCAACAGCTTATAAAAAGTTGTTCACTTGAAGTTAGGTAATGCATTGTCGTCATTAACCTCTTGAAGCACTTTATCAATGGTGGGGATTTCATTTCTGAAGAATACCCAAGGACTTTTATTTCAATTGCATTTTATCATCACTATCTACAAAGTCAGCCCAGCTCTTGCGGTTTTGGTTTGTCGAAGGTGCAGCAAGTGAGTGTGTACTGTTATACTCACGCAGAACTCTTGGATACACCTATTTTTACCGCAGCCTCGCCCACGATGCTGAAAGTTACCAGCCTCTGTACTTTTCTGCGTTTCGTATTTATATACTTTCAGAATAACTTCTTTGAGTCCCACGTTCAAGTGGTTCCTCTTTGATATCTTCTTGGATAGACTTAAAGTCACGTGGATGGGTTCATTAGCAGCTTCTGTACTGGACATCTTCAATGTAATACGGTCGGAATGCTTCGAACACGAGCGATTAGCAATAGTAGAACAGAAACAACAATTACTCAGCAACAAAACTACTTAGCAGGCATACAGACAAGTGAAGTGCTACTGTGTCTATCATTGCCAATCGGCCAATCAACGCGCTTCACCTACGCAGTTGCCTGGGCCAGTTTACGGCTCTGGGCGGTCTGCTTACTGCCTTTTGAGGTTGAATTTAGTATAGTGCCTCCATGTCTGTGTAGCACGTACAGGAACACGCTATATCAATTATGGGAAATGTACATGTAATGCTAGTGCTGCAGCTAGACTTCATCATAAGAGGCACCCAAATGCTGTTATCCCGATCGCTGAGTTTCTGTGAATGTGCATCTCTTACTCCCGAATGGACGATACCTAAATCAAGCACATGGCGAAGGAAGAATTTCCTTTCCTTACGAGGACGTCGTACTATACGCAGTCAAAGAATGTTCAAGCACTTCAGTACGTCAAATGGAAGCAAGCACCGAGGTGCCCAAAAGTACAGCCCACCGAATTTTACGAAAGAACGAGCTCCATCCGTGCCACGTACAGCGAGTACAATCTTTACTACCCCGGGATTATCTTCCAAGAGTTGTTTTGTCAAACAATGTTACAGAGACACCGGGACGATCCGCAATTTTTAGGGAACATTTTATAGACTGATGAGTCGACATTTAAAAAAGATGTAGATGAATCTACACAACTTACACGAGATAAATCACAAAATCGTTTTAAAGTATACATGTGGGCCGGTATCCTAAATGGGAGAACCATTGTACCCTTTGAGCTGCTATAGTTCCTGAATGGTGAAATTTATGTAGACTTTTTACAAAATCATTTACCAAAATTATTGGAAGATGTGACACTAAGCATTTGGAGAGACATGTGGTACCAGCAAGACGGCTGCCCTGCGCACTATGCCCATTTAGTTAGAGAATATCTTGATGCGGAATACCTGAGCAGATGGATAGGGCGGTCAGGTACAATTTCGTGCCCAGACCGTTCTCCCAATTTAAATCCACTCCATTTTTTTTACTAGAAAGCGTTGAAAGAAAAAGTTTACTCAAAGACAGAATAATGGGAGCAGAGGAATTTGTTAACAACGGAAGATTCGCCCGTCTGGTATCCTTATCATTTTTGAATAGACGTCAAGCTTGCATTGCTGCTGACGGAAGGCAGATTGAACACTTATTGTGAATTTAATAAATACATTCATGAATTAATAAAAGTGGCGTTACTATCTGCCTTGCTGTTACTATGTAGAAGAACATTGTTCATCAGTCCATCTAAAAAACATAGCTTACTGGAAAGATTCGCCTTGGTACTATATATTGTCTATCCTTTTCCCTAAGATGATTACATCACCTCTTTGGAACTCAAATCACGGAAAAAAACGAATCCAGTAGGAGCCCTAATTACCAAAAAGTAACATTCACTTTGCTCTGTTAGTGAATCATGGCCAGCATGCTACATCTAGTGGTCTTTGAGTGTCATAATTTCAAATTACTCAACAAAATTCTTGTTTACTCAAAGCCAATCGAAAATTTAGCGGAGCTACGTAACAGAATAACGGAAGCAGCTAAATTTGGAAATAACAGAAGGTCTGTCTAGCTGCGACTGCGTTAAATGACAGTCTGTCACTCTGTCTAAGAAAAAAAATGAAATTTGTTGTAATGGGACCCAAATACACCACATGGTGTAGATTTTTCCGATTTTTTTTAATCCCATAATTTGAAAAGTACACGATCTAATTTTTTCGATAACTATTATGACTTGGCCTATCTCCCGTTTCCAGCTTGACGTCGACGTTGGGTCCCTTGGAGCGACCGAGAATGTCTGTTCTTGCAGCTTGTCGAACGCGGACACGTTGAGGCGATTGTCGCTCGTACAATCAATAGTCTGTCGCAGATGCAACGCTAAAAGCGCGCTTAGTATCAGTATCGTGTCTCTAAAGATTACTAGTTTGTAACACTCAAGTTTAAGTCGAGCACATTTTCCCTTACTGATAGTTCATTATGTTTCATTTGCAATTTATGTTTACAGGTACTGAAAATAGTCCGGTACTCAACAGTAAGCAATGAAGAAAAAATCCGGAAGCCGAAAAAGAGAAGAAAAAAACCGATACTACCAACTTCGGACTCTTTTCCGAGTTACAAGTCAGACAAAAGCTGTGATACAATAGATGATAAAACGGTGGACTGGGTTGAAGTTACCAATCAAATTGGAGACATACCTTTCGCATTAGAAGAAAGTGACAACTTAACTTTGGAACTTAGCGATTTGCCAACTGAATTAGATAGTAGTAAATTTAGTGCTGAAAGTAGAAATGGAAATTCCAAGGCTGAACTTAGGGCTAAAAGTGAAGTGAGAGAAGTAAACGAGTCGTCCTGTTCAGTACAGTATAAAAGGAGTAATTCTGATGGCCTACCGACACCTGTTAAAGAGAAGAAAGAAAAGAAGGGATTTAGAAGGCTTTTCAAAAGAGTATTTTAGGATATTTTAAATATTTTTTATATTTACGTAATCTCGCTTTTTATTTATTGTAAGTTATATTAGTGTTTACATTTTCGAGAATAAGCTTGGTTATTATGCAAATAAAAAAGTTAACTAGTATTTCGTGTTTCATTTTACCTGGGCCACTTGGTTCAGGTAATACTTTTTTCAATGCAAGCTGGTAGATCTTGAATCAGTCAAGAAACGCCGACATGAAGATAGCTGTGGATTTTGAAACATCACTCCTTCGAATGAGTAGCACAACTATTGAGATTTCCGCTGTTACCTGCCATTTCGAGCCTAAAAGTGTTAAAACAACTGAACTTTTGAAACTAATGCTGTAAAACCAAATTTTACATTATAAAAAATACCCACCTGCGTAGTCTCTAGCTAGGAAAGGCAAATAAACATACAGGGTGTTCATTTGAAAACTTCCCACAACGGATTTATCAAAAGCCACTGATTAAAATAAAAAACGCCGAAAGACGTCAAAAGATTTGTCAAGGGGGACAACTTTTTAACCAAAAACTACTTTACACTCGGCCCCCCAGGGTCATTTCCTTGAAAATTTGAAATGACAAGAGGTATCGAGTAATAGCTTGCTTGAAAGATCTTTCGAAGTCCTTTATTTTGACTTTTGATTTTTCAAAATCGGTCGATTTGTTTTCAAGAAAATTAGAAAAACCTTTATCTTAATTGGTTCACATAGAAAACAAACCACACGAAAATACCACTTATTTCAATAAGTCGTCAAAATGTTGCCCATTAGAGTTTGACAAATCTACAATTCGTTTATAATTTAAACAGTAATTCGGAAGATTAGGCGTGGCAACAACCAAATAACGACCCGATTTTTCCGCATCCTTTTCATCAACACAGATATCCTGGGCGAACTGTATTTATTGTTATACCTGTTTAGTTATTTGTTGCTAAGGAAAAGAAAGAATTTACTTTGCTGTCAGTTACCTTTGTGACAATCTTGGGCGAGTGAAAATTAATTTATTGGTTCAGATTTTACTTCCAACATTCTAATACTTCATTACGCAAAATTGTTGCTGCGACTGGTATTTCATTAGGGTCTGTACCCATAGTTACTAAACTCCATCCATTCAAAATGAAAATATTGCAAGAGTTAACCGAAGATGATTTCGATAGGCGAGTTGAGTTTTGTGAACCAATCACTACAGCAATTAATGATAATACCACTCATGTAAAGAATATCTGCTTAGTGATGAATGCACATTTTCTCTAAATAGATTTGTTAAGAAGCATAACTGCATGTATTGGAGCAATGAAAATCCTCATGCTTTTGTAGAAGGGCTTATCCAATACCTCCCAAAAAACAATGTATGGGCAGGCATTTTATGACAAAAAGTTTATTAATGGAAATTTGAATGGAGACATTTATTTGGATATACCAACAACCCGCTTATCTCTGAAACCATTGAAAACCAAATTGAAGATGATGGAAACCCTATACTTGAAAAGACTGAAATATATTTCCAGCAAAACGGCGCACCTACTTACTATGTTCTTCCGGTTCGGCAATGGCTAGACGACGAGTTTCCAGATAAATAGATAAGGCGAAGAGGGCCTATAGAATGCCTGCTAGATATCCTGATTTGACGCCATTATACTTTTCTTCTGTGGGGCCATTTGAAATATATTGTGTTAAGGGGCAACATTTTGAACACTTATTGAAATAAAAGATGATATTTACAACGTTATTTCACGTGGAAATAACTTCATAATCATTATCTATGATCAAGATTACCATTTTACCATTATGAAGATCAAGTCACTCACTCCCAGGAAATTGTTAATTTGCTCATACCCAGCCTATCCCAAAAAAGGATCTGACACTGACCCTTACAGATAGACACCAATAGCTCTGTTTTCTGTTATAAGTAAGAGGTGCATAAATCGGGAGCTTCTAGAGTATCTTGAACGTCATGGCGTACAGATAGTATGGTTTCCGTCACCAACGATCCAGGGGGGACCTCCTAGCTAGGGTTACGCAACCCTGGAGTAAACTCATCCAGTCGAATGGTCAGGCTCATGTCGCTCTTGATATCACGAAAGCGTTCGTCCAGCTGTGGCATACTGACCTCTTATGCAAAGTTCCATAATATGGCCTCTTAGAGAAGTTTTGCAAATGGCAGGCCGACTTCCTTTCTGGGCTAAAGATATCCGTCGTAAATGACGGGTTCTCCTTTTCATTTTCGTGTGTTTTTGTTTTCTATCTGAACAGATTAAGATGAATAGAGATTTTTCCCATTTTCTTGAAAACGTCAAAATATAGGACTTTAAAAGATTCAAACAAGTTATCGCTCAATACCCCTTGTCATTTATAATTTATAAAGGGATCACCCTGGGAGTAGAGGGTGAAAGGGGTGAAGTAGTTTTTGGTTAAAAAGTTGTCCCCCTTGACAAATATTTCGACGTATCTCTGAGTTTTTCCTTTAAATGAGTGGTTTTCGATAAATCCGTGGTGGAAAGTTTTCAAATAAACACCCTGTATATACAAAGTTGTGATAGGCTGTACACTTATTTTCGCCTATGTCGCAAAATCCATTCTCAGTTTAAGTCTGCTCTGTCGTTAGAGTATTGCCAATTTTAGGTATCTAGCTGGATTTCCAAACTCCTGAGTACCTTTTAACCCCCACAATACAGCCCTGTCGCAAAATCCGTTCTTAACTGCATATAAACTACCTTGCCAAATTATATCTGCTGAAGAAACAAAGGACCTTCGTAAATACCCTTCTGTCTATTTTCATGTTCGTACGTCAAATATTTTTCCGTCACCAACGATCCACGGGGGACCTCCTAGCTAGGGTTACGCAACCCTGGAGTAAACTCATCCAGTCATATGGTCAGGCTCATATCGTTGCTCTTGATATCACGAAAGCGTTCGACCAGCTGTGGCATGCTGACCTCTTATGCAAATTTCCATCCTATGGCCTCTTAGAGAAGCTTTGCAAATGGCTGGCCGACTTCCTTTCGGGCCTCAAGATATCCGTCGTAAATGACGGGTTCTCCTCTTCAGCACACAACGTCAACGCGAATGTTCCCCAGGGATCGGCATCGACGTTGTTCCTATTATATATCGACGGCGGCCTTTCCAGTATGATCATTCTGGTCCACAGCTTAGCTGATGACAGCAATAATCCAGAGCGACAAGCCGATCTCTGATTTTCCACTCTGCCGAGAGACCTGGCGGTTATAACAGCTTTTGAGGACGCAACAAATCTGGCACAGTTTAATGCTTCCAAAGCACAGCACTGCACCTTGGCTAACAAAAAGCGCCCTAGCGATCATTTGGTATCGGAGTTCTACCAATGAGCCCTTCATTTCGGTTGGTCGGAGATCAGATCTCCGAGGACTTGATGTAGCACGAACACATCTCATCAATTGCGGCAGCTGATATTTGTTTATGCTCACATCTTTGGGGTGATGCCGCTTCGACTACATTGTTATCAATGCTCGTTGCTGTTTAGTGTCCGACTGATGGACGACTCTTCTCTAACTCAGTATCGAGGCCATTTCGTACCGGCGGGCCGTCGGCGATCTAGGTCTACCGCTATGTCAACGGGATTTTTGCTCCTCAGAATTCTCCTCCCTTATGCAGTAGCGCGATGAGCGTACCAGACTGATCCGCCTGACTTCGACCTCCCATCCTAACCGTGTCGAACTACGTAGAACCAGAACTGGCCGAGTTGGCCGAAACGAAATCTCCTTTATCCTTGGGATTCCGTACCTCCTCAAGTGCCACAGCATAATAGTGCGGCAGGGGCCTTACGCATCTAGAACAATGACATTATGTACTGTTTTTTTGACATTATATAGGTTTCACAGGTTATTAATTACACTAATATAAGAAAATCCCCATTTGGTGAAGTATATTACAGCCAACAGGTGACAAAATATGCTACAGACAGGAATATTATTTATGAAACGTGAAAAACTTATTACATTATTTTCTATTACCAGTCATTTAAATTTTATGGACAATTATTTTGCGATGTCAACTAGAAAATACAAATCAGCACCTAGATGTGAGGCACTGCGAAAATCATGCAGATTCGATTCAGCTGCTCAACCAATTTTATTTCTGTTACATCTTCTCATATACTCTACAGACTATCTCAGCATTCTGCAACCAACAAAGCATGCTGGGGAACTGACTTGCAGCTGGTCATTGAGCGTGTCATTGTATCATTGCTCCACAGACGACGCAGATAGCAGAATGGACTATTTGCACACTAAAAACTATTTAGTCAGCATGTTGCCATTTTGTCGTTTTTTGACATTATACATGTTTTTTAAGTAATAGCCCAGTATAAACCATACAAACCAAGAGCAACTTGACGGAATATCAACTTATTATCGGAATATATAATATAAGCAATTTTGTTTAACGTAATTTAGCGGATTACTGAACTGAGAATAAAAACAATTTGAACAGAAAATATTTTTCATACGTACCCAAATGTAGTTAATGCACATAGTAATTATTAATTACTTATGTATTCATGGCGCCTTGGAGCTCCTAATACTTTTGGCAACAATGCCATAACAAGTTATGCGACAACGAGCCATTTCAAGGAATCGGGAAATTACCCACATGCGGTTGTGCCCGTCTATTTTCTAGCTGTGTGCTTTATTTTATAACTGGTAAAAAGCTATCTCAGCATCTCAGGTACAAGTGTGAGCATTTTGTGTCAAGTTTTCAATTGTCCCAAACCACTTTTACTGTTTATTTACTTTTGATTGGATTTGCTGTAAATTTTTATTTTATAATATAATATTTTTTACCATTAAAGGGTATTTCTTTTGCAAATAAGTTTTTTTTAGGGGATTCACATCGGCTCTAACGGATCTTAAGCACTTATTTGGCGGAAACTATTTTAAGGAGTTGGCAACGCTGCTACTGTTCCACCCCTCCTACTTCAACGTTGACATTGACAATCGATGACAGTTCTCTTATTTTCCCTTTGTCATATTGTCATTGGCATTTGTTTTCTTTCTTCGTACGCTGCGGCATGCCTGACGGGATTGGTAAATTGGTATTTTGTGTCGTCACCGCACCCACAGCGATTGTAGACCAGACTGATTCCTTTTTCTCCTCACATTCTACACCGGAAATGAATTAATGTATCATTAAAAAATGTCATCTGAATTTCATTGAATCATAAGTACGGTTTTTCTGTAGCCAGCATGGACGAAGGTACCTTGAACGATCTTCTGGAGTGCTCTGTATGCCTAGAAAGGTTAGATACCAGCAGCAAAGTGCTCCCCTGCCAGCATACTTTTTGTAAAAAATGTCTTGAAGAGATCGTGGAGAAACACAAAGAACTACGATGCCCTGAGTGCAGGGTTTTGGTCCAGGCTAAAGTGGAAGACTTGCCTCCTAATGTACTACTCATGAGGATCTTGGAAGGTAATGTTGCTACTCTGGTAGATCAGGCTTCATTTCAAATAAGAGCAAATATATAAAAATCCTACAACATTTGAAGGTATATCATAGATTTTGAAAGCCAGCTCTATTAACGACCATGTTTTGTTTTTTTCCTATATTATTGTCTATACCTACTTAAACAGTAACGGCGATTTTACACATGCTACTTATAGAATATGGCAAATCACATTTTTATTGAAATCTATTCCCTATTGAAATAAGACCATTTGGTTACATTGTATATGTATACACAAATCCATGCCTCCACAAACATTTTCTTATTGAACAGTTGATGGACACAATTCATTAATAGTGACTAAACAACAACTTGCATAGGTAATTGTGTTCCTTACAATTTTTGTTTAAGATATTTTTGTGGGATCTTTTTCCCTTTTTGAGAAATATTACAAAACATGGTATTTTTTACATTTAATTCCAAATAAAACAAGCTCCTAACCCCCCTCCCCCTCCCTAAACAAATTCCTACATCTGCCAGTGACAACAACATGAATTCAAGCATGAATCTGTGTTAAATGTATCTATCAATATGATATAATGACTAGACCGTGAATGTTAATAAACTATGAGCTGTGCAAATGTGCATTGAAACAGACATCAAAATCTTTCAAGATAGTTGACATAATCATCAATGAAGATTCCATGGGTTTAGAGTTCTGGGCACTTTATTGAATTTAGTTGCACCATTAAATTATGCAACACCCTGTATGTACAAATAAAATGCCTAAAAATTATAAATATGTTTTTTTGCTCACTGCTCTGATAATGAATAAAGTAGTGACACTTGACTCTTAGGAATGAAAAATGCAGGAAATCCTGTGCTGAAGAAAGCTCATAGACCAAATAGATCCCCAAACCAGTTACTAACAAACCCTTCAACATTTTCAACAACACCAGTTCATCATCAGCATGGCACTCCAGATCACAGGACTACTTCAAATAAACATCAAAATATGCAGATTGCTCCACATCAACCATATGCTATTGCTGCATATGATTACACATCCAGAGAAGCAGGGTAAGTGATAATTCAGTTTAAAATTTTATAACAGTTAAAAGATGAAAAGTAATGCTTTGATGTGCACACAAGGATTTTGTTGAGTAATTTGAAATTATGATACTCAGAGATTACTAGATGTAGCATTCTGGCTATGATTCCCTAACAGAGCAAAGTAAATGTTACTTTTTGGTAATTAGGGCTCATATTGAATTTGTTTTTTACAGTGATTTGAGTTTCAAAAGAGGTGATGTGATCATTTTAAGGAAAAGGATAGACAATAACTGGTACCAAGGTGAATGTGGTGGCAAGCAGGGAGTCTTTCCAGTAAGCTATGTTCAGGTAAATAAATACATTGGGCTAGTTCATAACTTATATTATAATTGCACATTTTCAAATATTCAAACCTAACTTATCTAACTTAAAGAAAAGAGTCATTAGGGTGGATAGGTCAAGTCATAATAGTTATAGTTCTTATTATAGGATTTAAAAAATAGGAAAAATATATACCCTGTGATGATCTTTTAGTTCCCATTATTACAAATTTAATTTTTTTTAGTTGGAGTGATGGACATTGCCATTCTACATAGTGACAGCAAGACAGATAGTAATGCCACTTCTATTAATTTGTGAATGTATTTATTAAATTCACAACAAATGTTCAATTTTGCTTTCCTTCAGCTTGACATCTTAAAAATGATCAGGATATCAGGCGGGCGAATCTTCCGTTAATAACAAACACATCTGCTTCCATTATTCTGTCTTTTTCTTTCACTGCTCCCAGTCAACAAAATCAAGTGAATGCGCTGGCCACAAAATTCTACCAGACTGCCCGATCCATCTGCTCGAATATTCTGCATCAAGATATTCTGTAACTGCCTCTGTAAATTGCTTCCAATAAATTTAGTAAATGATTTTGTAAAAAGTCCAGATAAATTTCTCCATTCAAGAAATCTAACAGCTCAAAGGGTACAATGAATCTCCCATTTACTTTAAAACAATACTGTGATCTATCTTTTCTCATCAAACATGGATTTTCTACATGCCACATAGTCTAAGTTGTATAGATTCATGGAACCATCTTTTTAAATGTGGACTCATCAGTCGTTAAAATTTTCCTGGTGCCTCTGTAACATTGTTTGACAAAAGTAAACTCTTGGAAGATAATCCTGGGGTAGTAGAGATTGTACACGCTGTACATGGCACGGGTGGACCTCGTTGAGAGAGAGATACTGAGATATTCAGGTATCTGGGACTTTTTCGACTGCTTGTAGGACGTCGCCCTAGAAGAAAAGGAAATTCTGCCTTCACCATGCGCTTGATTTAGGAATCATCCCGCTGAGAGTAACTGGTTCTGATTTTTCTTAAAGACTATAATTTGTAAAGTACACCACTTAGATTTGTTTATATATTTCTGATAACTATTATGACGTGGAATATCCCCGTTTCTGGCTTGGCGTCGACTTACGGGACACCCTGTATAACAATACCATTTTTTACAGTTATAGTACTGCATGTACTGCAGCTCACAGACAAAACCTTAAAGCTTCTGGTAGAGCATGGCACGCTAGGGTGAGCGTCGCGTTCGAGGAATTATCTCCCTCTGAACAAGCTGTCGTGAGTTTGCCTGTAACTTCATCGCGAGAGAGTTTAATCCACGACCGCTCGCGCTCGGTATTAAACAGACGTGAACACGCCAGTCGCTTTTGAAATGTGTGTTGAAACGCGTTCTAGGATAGTTGCGAACTGAACTTCAGATATTTGTACCATTTTTTTAGAATCTTTAGGGTGTTCATTTCTTAGTTCAGCATCTGCCAAATTATGTTTCTCCAAGTTTCTTCATGACTCAACAAAGCTATTTAATTTTTTTATCAGTCCATGTGACTCTCAACCTTTTCGCTAACATACCACTGAAATTTGAACTCAAAAAGTGTAACAATCAATCAGAAGATCCTTCATGGTGATCTGCATGGAATTCACTGAATCATGATCATATGAACTGTCTGTGTTCCTCGCTGGTTCAGTTTCCACTCCCACTCAAGACAAGGGTCACGAAAGAGATATTGAAAACGCGCCACGCTGTCGTCTTGCCTTATGAGAACTTAATGGATACCAAGGCATGGTCACTAAAAGTGGACCAGGACATGACATTATTAGAAGCCAAAATCTGCAAAACAGTTCTATGTCTTGCAAATCATTTGGCTACAACTACATGTCAAGAGCAGTCATGCACTGCATTACCTGCCTTGTTTTCAAAGCAAAAAACAAAAAATAATTACACCAGACTGTAAAGCACAATTTAGTGAAGTTGTTGAGGTGATAATGACCCTCATATGGAAAATCATTTTGCAATATCTGCATCCATCTTCGTTCCTCAAGGATTCGATTTGTGAACTATTCAGTTATGAATTATTGATATTGATATTTAGATTTTAGTTGCTTGTCTAATTTTCTCCTGGACAGAAAACAAAATCGCTGCAACCACAAAATTGTTTTATAGATAATAACCCCAGTGCCAAGTCACCTCCCTCAGTGTAAAGCATTATATGACTTTCGCATGGCTGGTGGCGACGAAGAAGAGGGATGTCTGCAATTCAGAAAGGGGGACATAATCAACGTTATTAGAAGAGTTGACGAAAATTGGGCAGAAGGAAAACTTGATGGCCGAATCGGCATTTTCCCTTTGTCATTCGTGGAACTAAATGACTTAGCCCGATCATTGATGAAGTTGTCCACAAAGTAAGTGAATGCTTAATGAATTGAGTAGACACACATAACAAATTTGCAGTGAGAGAAACATAGTCTTATTGGCTAAATTTGACTTTCAGTTTCCTTAGTTGCTTAAGTAACATTCATATATTTCATGGTACTGCTTGTCAGCTTTAGAATATTATGGGAATTTGATTCAATTTGAGACCATACAAATATAATTATGATATGAGATCATAAAATAGTATTAAAGTATTATGATAAAAGATAAGCATTTTTATTTACGACTTATTAAATTATGAATTGTATATAACAGTGTCAAAATTACTAATTGGCTTTTCTATCAATAAAGACCATATCACTCAATATGGTTGATGATGGAAGATATTTTGCCATTAGATAAACTATCTGTTTTTTTAAATACTCCAACCACCATGGAGGCCTAAGGCCTAAACACCAATGGGTACCGTGGGGCTATAGGGGGATACGATCCGCCGGGTAGTACCTCTGCGTTCGGCAGTCAGAGACAGTCTACCACCTACGGACAATCACAACATTCATAGCTAAGAGAAAAATTTCTCTTGGGACGGGATTCGAACCCGCTCAGCGCGCGGCGACTGATCAGGAGACCGAAGAGTCTACTACTACGACCACCGCAATTCAACAAAATGATTTGTATTTCTCATCAAAACTTAGAATACAATCAATGCTATTAACTATAGCTTTCAATCTGTGATGTTGGGTTGCCTAATAATGAGTTTGAATCTACTTATGGATTAACAAATACTATATCCATTTTAGCGTTCAACCTGGCCCATCTCGTCTAGCGCCACCTACTCCGACAAATGAGGACACTTCTCCTCTCATCCCTACTGATCACACAAGAACAGTGATCAATCAGCGCAGGTCGCCACAGACTAATACTAATCAATTACAGAGGGACCATCAGAGTAAACAGGTAGATATTTCGATACAACAGAGTATTTCTGTCTAGACAAAGTTCCATAAATAACTATTATTTTCCAGAAAATGAATGACCTAAATATCGAAAATGACCATATTTTTTTAAAGGCAAGACAAATGTACTGTTATCAAAAGTAAGTAGTCATATGTTAGTGAAATTGATTCACTATTGTAAATGGAGTTCTCTGCTATAACTTGAGGGGTACATTGGCTGGAAAACAATATTGCTCAAAAGGTTTATTGATTCTAAGCTATTGATAAAAATTCGAAATCACAAAACCACACATTTTAATGTAACTACTGAAAGTTATCCTATGGTTTTCACTTTCATCAGACCCAATTGTCTTGCCGATTCAAACCACATATATCTTTTAAGTTCTGTTTATTGTACGGTAGCCTGTTTCAAGTACATTAGTTACAACAATAGTTAGGTCTTAACTCAGAAGGTGAAACTAGGTGAAACACGTCTCAATCTTGGGATTTTTGGATATAATGATCAAGCTGTCCAATGATGCACTTTACTCATAATTACTGTATCCACGTATGATTATACAGCTCCATCTATGAAACGGTAAAGGTAAAGTACGATGGAATACGATTAGCGACAGTATGGGTTCAGATCACTTCCCAATTTTTATATCGTTTAACTGTGATTACGTGCCGCAGCGCCTTCAACCTTCCACCAAATGGAACACCAAATGCGCTGACTGGCCTCTGTTCTCACAGATAATACAAAATGATTTTGATATCCAATCTAATGTTGAAGAAATTAATATAAAACATTTTATCACTATCCTTAATAACGCTGCCAATTCTTCGATAAAAGTTAACCAACCCTTGATTATAAATACTCCTAAACCTTTATGGTGGGATACAGATTGTTCTCAGATGGTTGCTAAGAGAAAGTCGGCTCTTTATCAGTACAAAAATCAGTCAAATTGGGAAAATTTTTTAAAGTACAAACAAGCCGAATCCCAAACCAAGTTACTCTTTACCAAAAAATGCAGAGATAGCTGGAAAATTTTTTTAAATACCCTAAATAAAAATACACCTATAACAAAAATTTGGAATTTTGTTAGAAAAATGAACAACAAAAAATACTGCAACTCAAGTTATAATTTTACTGAGGAAATGATAGATAGCTTACTGAACTTTTTTGCACCTGCTACAGTAATGAACTTTACACCTCCAGCAGGCAACACCAACTTAATGAGTAATTTTTCTGTTAATGACTTTTCATTAGCAGAATTTGAAGCAGCCCTACAAAAACATAAGTAGATGTCTTATGGGGATTCGGTCTCAAAACTTCCAAAATCCGCCACCAGAGGCGCTGGCGTCGCGCGCCATTGACAGGTTGTTGGACGGAATCTGTATTCATGAGTTGGGGATTCCGCCGCTAGATGGCGCTGTCAAACCAAACGGAATCTGTGTGTCATTGGACACCTGTCATGCGTCATTGGGCATCTCACGCATAGATGGCGTTACACGTCATCTGTCATACGTCATTGGACACCTGTCATTGATGGGTTGAGCATCTCGCGCATAAATGGCGTAGATTTGTTTGGCGGTGTACAAACCTAACGGAATCTATGCGTCATTGGACAGCTGCCATTGATGGGTTGGGCATCTCGCGCATAGATGGCGCCGATGTCGCACCTGTCTGGTGTTGGCGTGGATTACGGGGGGCAACGTGTATACAGGGGTGCATCGAAAAATAGCGGATCGATGGACCGACGGTATATCGTTAAATCGTATATAGCAAGGCGTGACCTAAATAGCGTGGTGGGCTCCTCTGGTCGGTCGGTCGGTCGGTCAGAATGTCTCATAACCTGTATACGATGTACTGTTATTATTATACAGGATGATACCGTTCAAAATGAAAATAGTATAATGGATATTTTATTGAAACATATAGTATATATAACAATAAGGTTGATTGGTGTGTGTGTGTGTGCCATGTTTTGAATACCCGCGCTTGAACAACTTGCAACAAGAAATTCCGACAATATTATTTCGCAAACCAGAGGTATTTTCAATAAAACTACATATCAGGGAGTACTTTAGATGTTGATACTAATCGACTCAAATCATTGTTCGACAACTGATTTGGTTCATGACAGACAAGAATCAAATTATGTATTTCACGGTTCAGTTCTGGTTGTTTTTTAATTTTTTCCCTAAACTTCAGGTAACCCAGGAAATATGTCTCTTATCCGTCCTCTGTTCAACACATCAGTAAAATCGTTAGAAAATTCTATATATGACATATTATTATAAAAGGTATAGGACCGTCCTGCGTTTGATTGAAAAATAGCATTGATTCGAGCCCTATCGGGTATATCAATTGAAAAATTATCAAGAAATTTAATGGTAGGGAATGATGCTGAGAAATAGTTGTTTGGAGACACAATGGTAATCAAGTCACCGTTTGTTGATTGGAAAATATGTTGTAAAGTGTATTGACGTAATTCTGTAGGAACATAATCGACAAGAAGTTCAGGCTGAGATGGGATAATCATTTCGTTTAAGTCTAGTTTCCATATAAACATATCATGTGCAATATATAATCGGTAATTTGAAAACTCTGGAGCAATAGCTAAAAACATAAAATCTGGAATAATATCACACAAATTTTTGAGGATCGGCTGCTTACGAGTTGTAGATCTTATAGTTGTTGTTGTTTTTGGTATTGCTGATGCGGTGGTAGACGTTGGGATTGAATCATATTTGTTTTTTCTTCCATATAGATATTGTACTGCATTTATATCATCAACATCTAGACCACGAATCTCATGCTGATAGAAGGCAAACATAATAGCATTCGGAGAAGCACTATGTGCTATGCCGAGAGCATGTCCAATTTCATGAACCAACACCTGATAGAGAATGATGTCAAAAATCTCAGATAGCAAATATAAATTCGTTTACCCCCCAATCAAAATCTTGACTGAAAAAAAATTAGGCAGCAAATATACAATAATCATACACGAATTTACTATATTTCTAAATTTCTACTCTCATGTGCAACTTGTAATTGGAATTTCCGCCGGACAAACGATACATTCATGTATTACTAAGAAATTATATAAAAAATACTGCAACCGCAATGAATGTTGTTTTCTCGATAAAAATGGTACTGAGAATATGATGCATATAATATGCATATTTACGATACAATTATCTCATGCACGCGTGTGTTATCTCAACCACGTATTTATATTTAGCGAGCGCATGCAATAGTCATCATTGTTTCACACTTAACGCACAACGCTGCAAGCTGGAACAACGGCCGCAGTACAATAGTGCTTCGAGAGAGACGAGATAGCGAAAATTTTAAAAAAAGTAAGTGCTATTTTATTTAATATTTTTCTTTTTTATGTCTCTAAGTGCAACTGTTTTTTCGTGTTATGCTTCAAAATAGTTAGACGACTCAATTTTTTTTATAGATGGATTTATCAAAAATTAATGCTGCGTCTTCGATTGTAGACCGCAAACCTATCAGAAAATTAAAGGACCTACCAGTCGGGACACCATTTGCAATCCAAGCAGCTAAAGTGGTCAAGTCGAAATTTGGGGAAGCCGTGCTACTAGATTTAGGACCGGAAGTGCTATTTCTACCACAGCGGGTGACGGAAACGTACCAGCCGGTCATCGACGAACTTTTTCACGGAAAATACTCGATCATCTTCCAAGGGGAAGTGGACGTAGGGAAAAGCCGACCGCTAGCATCATTCAAAATAGTGGAAAATTAACAAAGCAGAGAACAGGAGGAGGAGGACAGGGTGAGCATTTTTATATATTTTTGAGTAATGTGTTTGCTTGAAAAAAAAAATGTCGTCTTTTCAAATGTCTTCAAATAAGGTTAAAAAGATCATCAAACAAACAGACGGTGTTCTACTATCAATTGTTAGTCTACGGAAAATTTTATTTGATAATTTTACAATCAGAGACGCGGAAGTGTGGCTGAAACGAATAGAAAAACAAATTAGATTATGTAAACGGGTAATTCGTAGTAGAAGGCAAAATAAATTATCTGTAGGGACCTGTAGAAAAGTAGAAACAAATTTGGGGCATTTTAAACATTTTAGAAAGTTGATTTTAACTAGACATATTGGGGCAGGACTTCACTTAACATTGGGTCAGAGGGTTAGATGGGAAAATGTAGAATCGAGCTTTCAAAGTAGAATAAAAACCGGTTCCATAGCTAATTTGCGTCATAAGGACTTGAATCAATTTTTAGCAGATTGTGTAGTTGTTTTTAAAAGGAAAATTAGGAATATTTTGAACACCCATTGTGCGCTCAAAGTAAATACAACATTTTGCGGGGAGTTTATTAGGAAATCGGGGGATAATGAAATTTTGGGAATTAAATATATTAATACTAAAAATCATATTATTGATACATCAACTCAAATAGACGAGTGGTTTAAGATATATGTGAAAGATAAACTTTTAAACGAATTATCGGAATTTGCTGAAAAAGATTCGGGATTTGCGTTAAATAAAATTATTTCCTTAGTTGTTAATATCAGTAAATATCAATTGGGAAACGGTTCATCTTATATTAGACTACCAGAACCGATTATAAGGAAAAATGCTTGTATAAACATTAAAAATATAGATCAAAATTGCTTTTACTGGGCCATTGTAAGCGCTCTTCGGACTCCTAGCAAAAAAAGACATGCAGAACTAACCTCCTCATATCCACACTTTACTGACGTTTTACAAACAGAAAATTTAGATAGTCCTATGCTGCTAACAAAAATTTCAAAATTTGAAAAGATGAATAACATTTCAGTCAATGTTTACGCTTTAGAATTGATCGAAACAGAAAAAAAATCATTTTACATAGTAGTACCAGCAAGATTAACGGAAAATAAACGGGATACGCATGTTAATTTACTTTTAGCTCAAAATAAATATTATCCGCGTTTAAATGATTATGATGCTCCTCCACCAGCGCCAGCAAATGAAGATAATGATTCAATCGATGAAATTAAATATCACTATTGTTGGATTAAAAATCTTTCGCGTCTTATTAGTAGCCAGTTAAATAAACATCGTGAGAAAAAATTTATTTGCGATAGATGTCTGAACTATTTCCATCAGCAAAATAAATTAGTTGAACATGAAAAACTGTGTTCTAAATTTAATAAATATAAAATTAACCTTCCTAAAGAG